GCAAGCGTGGAGCAAGTCGAGGTGTTCATCATACCGTCTCTGTCGGTTGCTCAAGTCTCATCTGATTGCTAAGTCTGTATTTTCCTGTAGTATCCCATCCGGCCTTTGTTCCCACCACAGGACCTTGGCAACTGCTCTTCTCTCCCTAGATTTCAGCATTTCTCATGGCTGCGGTTTGGTGTCCACTATTCTGAATGGAATATAGAATCTTTTCTCCTTAAATTTAGCTGCGATATATTAACTGCCGAATCCAGGGAACTACCGTAATCAAATAGTTTAACCCTTTCTTTAGGTCTTGGCTTCTGTGAGAACTCTTACATCTTTATCCACCCCTCCCCATACTCCCCCTCTTCCTCCTCCTCCTATTCCTCCTTCTCATTTTAGATCTCTTTCTTTGCTCACCCTCTAAATTTGAGTGATCCTGTGGGTTAGGCCATTTCTCAAGGTTGTTAGTTTGTGGGCAGTTCATCTTGTCAGCCGTTAACTCCCAACTCGGAAGCGTCCCCGAAGATCAGCCTCTGGAGCTAGCTCTCCTCTGGATAGCTACATCTATTCCTAGTCATCTAAAATCCAAACTATCCCAAAGGAAACACTTCTTCTTTAGTGTTACCTCCCTTGTATACCACGATCCATGTAATAGCATTTACAGTTGCCTCTCGCTCAAGATAGAAACCTACAAATCGTCTTACACCAAGAAAACTTTGTTATTATACCTTTGTTTGTTCAAAAAAGTTTCTTTGCATTTATATACTTGTGTGTGTGTGTTTGTGTGTGTGTGTGTGTGTGTGTGTGAGAGAGAGAGAGAGAGAGAGAGATAGAGAGAGAGAGATATAGAGACATGTACTATGGCACATGTGTGGATGTCAGGGGACTATCTTCAGGAGTCAGGTCTCCCCTTTGACCATGCAGGACCCAGGGTTGTCAGGTTTTTGACCCTCACACTGTCTCTTGGGTCAGTGGGGCTCTTCCCCAAAGTTATCCGACTGAAACAATATTTTTCATGAACAAGATTTAAAGTCATGCTTCTCCAGATAGACTGTCTTTCTGGGTCTTCTCGGAGCGTGGTGAGGAAAAGTTGTTTTCCTCTCTTGTGGCCGCATATTAATATTGCTAGATGGCAAACAAGAGAGTAAATGCCAGTGGGTTTCTACAGAAGCAATTTTATTAATTTAGCTTCTGTGAACTCCCTCCTGCCCTGTTCCCAATCTTAGTTTAATGAAATATGTTTAAAGAGACGTAAATCTTTTACTCTTGTATTAGCAGGATTCTCATTTAATCAGATTGGTTTTCTTTTCCTTACCATAGATAAATAAAATAAATAGTAAGATAAATATGATAGATAAAAAATGTAGAAGACGCTGAGAAACAATTAAAACAGTATCTCATTATTCCCCTCCCCCCCAGCATTTCCAAGTTATTTCTAGGTTAAAAATTTGTGCTAAAAGCATGGGATTATATGGAAGCTTTCTTTTTTCATGTGGATGGATTATGAATAGAGCTTTAGTAAATAAATACATTATTTTATCTAAAGAGTAGACTGTTTATCTCATACTACAAGAATTTAAAGCTCTTCTGTTGCTGATGGTTGAATCCTTTATAAGGTATTGACTTTATTTACAAAGACCATAAATGCAAAACACAAAGCCAGGCTAGGAGCCATTCAGGGGCCACAGAAACCCAATTTGGCCTATTTGTTTGCTCCGCAGAAAGTGATCATCCGGAAACATCAGTGAGAATTCCAGGAGACTGAAGGGACTGTGGTCCCCATCCTATTCTTGTGTTCTCCTGGACTGTGAGGCCAGCTTTTTGGCTTAGGAGGCATTAACATCACGCAGGGCTGTTCCATCCCGGCAGACTTCAGCCTTTTGCCTTTACTCAAAGGGAGGAAAGTTAGCTTTGGGGGGAATTAACATTTACTCGCTCTATCAGAGTCTCTTAGATACACATTCTGGGTGATGGAGTCCTTTCCATTGTCTAGTTGGGTGAAAGCTGGAAAGAACACACTTGGACGGAGACCACACCTGGAACCTGCCCACGCGCTGGCAGGGCCTGGGCTTCACAATACACTTATTACCGCAGACCAGACACACGTTGTTAATAGCTGTGTGGAGACTTATCAACAGGGGAGTCCCGTAGCCAACACGTTAATGTTTATCAAGCTATTTACCTTAACATTTCCTCTTCTCTAGGATGAATCTGCAATTGTATTATTGCAGCGAATATGATTATGGCTTATAGGTCACTGTCCAGTGGTTCCAAAAGAGACTCAAGTGTCCCTGTCCAGCAATACATCAAATGGTGTCCCTACTCCTTCTCCCAGGCTGCCCAAGCTAGAGCATTGCAGTGACAGCCTGAGGATCGCTGTCCAGGGCCAGGCATTGCTGTTTCTGTGAAGAACTGGAGAAATAAAATCAGCAGTTTGACTCTTTTCCAGCGTATTTTAATAGGAATAATCTTGGCCGCGGCCATCACTAGACAAACTAATTACTTCTTCGCACGCGCATGGCCCGTGTCTAGCCCACTTGGGGACTTGCAATCACTACATCTTGTCTCTTGTGGGAGCCACATCCTTTTCAGAGGCCAGGTTTTAAGGCACTTTGGGATATGTCTTATAATCACATATGGGTTTCAAGTCCAGGCAGGAACCTAGCGTTATGGAGCAGGTGGATCCATTGGTAGACTTGATAGGAAGCATTCTTCTCTTGCAATCTCGTCCCACTAGAGGCATAGACTTGATTGAAGGAGATATCATCACCAACAGGAGAGGCTTATATAAGCCATTCTCGCGGTGGCCATTTGTCCTCAGAGATAAGCGGCTTCTCAAGCCAGGAGCGGAGTCTCAGGCCACAGAGAAGGTTCCTGCAGTTGCTCACATAGTATGGAAGAACCAATGTGCATTTAGAGGAATGCTGATTCCCCGTTTCCAGTGTTCTGGGAACTGTCGCGGGTCCTATGGCTCTGCTGACAACAATTATATCTGGAACATGAGCTCATGCATATTATGCATATTATTTTTCACATGAAGCTCTCTGTGGTCTATAAAATAATAATAATAAGATAAAATAATGTATTTATTATTATTATCAGATGGTTAGCTTAAAATCCAAACAGTCTGATTTACCCCCACAATTCAGTTTCCCCTTTACTTTACTTGGTGGAGTAATCTCAGTTAGCAGTGCCATTGGGGTCCTGCTTTGATGGGGTGGAAAAATACACACACTCTGATATTTCGGAGCGCGTGGGCTGCGATGAAGCTAAGTGTGCTCTAGTGGGATATCTGTGTTGAAACAGCTGAAGATTTATCATTGCCTTTTTTTTTTTTACTTAAGAATGGAGGAAATCGACCACTATGTGATAATTAAAAATAGCAGCTCTCTGGGGAAGCAGGAGCCAAGTTTTTAAATGCTGCAGAAACACGGGGGTAGCGTTCTTTAACCGAAACTGGGTGATTTATATCTGTGTCACTTGAAGATCTGATATGAAGCTGAGTCAATGAATCCTCCCACCGGCATACCATAACCAAAGCAAAATTTATTTCCCTTTTGCCTGCAGAGTTTTAGCCAATTACATAATAAATCACCCTGCCTTTAAAGGACCTAGGATAGACAGGCTTATCTGGGCTGGATGGATTGCGTGATGCTCCTGCCCCAGAGGGTGAATTCTACAGTGCTTTAAAAGATGCCGGCAGTGAGACAGCCCGGATTGCACTGTTTCTGCTTCTCAGTGTCGGGAGGGGTGACAGCATTAGGATGTCTCAAACGGTTGAAGGTTTCTCTTAAATACCGAGGAGACACACATGAGTTAAATTCGTGCCGACTCCCAATATTCCATCGGATGCCTGTGGCTGGTTCTACAGGCACCGTGGGTAAAGACACACGATCTCCAGAAGAGAATCTTTATAAGGACTTGCCATTTACAGACCAAACAAACAGGCATGGGTTTTTCTCTTTGGAGTATCTTGATAACATTGAATCATAATATAAACATAATGCATCCAAGTCTTACTTGAGACATAGAAATTAAAATCCAGAGCGGTTAAGTGACTTATCCCAGATAATATATAGTGAGTTGAATAAAGAAAACTTAATTTTTTTTTTTTTTTTGCCTTGAGGACAGCGCCTTATGAAGCCTTCATACTCCCACTGTGCTGGTGTGCTTATGAGACCAAATACTCTAAGCACCTTAGACATGCATTTTAGAAATATGTCACTGGGAGGATAGTTTGAATTAGTAATGTAGTGGGGAACCTTATTAAACTCGATTAAAATGAAGAATTATCCACTTTCAAGTGGAAAGGGTCAGACGCTCAGTGTAAATCTGAGTTGGGCAGCTATAGGGGCAGTGGATGGTCCAGGACAAAGATGAAATCCATCACCTTGCAATTAGGAGTGTTCAGAGGACAGGACCTGCAGCTGAGGAGGGACGGTAGTGAGAAGGGAGGAGTCTTAGGATGTGTGACCTGTGAGCACAGCCTGGTGGATGCTGTCTCATGTGCTGGTAGTAGGCTTTCTTAAGAAATTGTCCCGGGCTGGAGTGATGGCTCAGCAGATAAGAGCATTGCCTGCTCTTCCAAAGGTCCTAAGTTCAATTCCCAGCAACCACATAGTGGTTTACAACCATCTGTAATGAGGTCTGGTGCTCTCTTCTGGCCTGCAGGCATACATGTGGACAGAATATATAAATTGTATACCTAATATATAAATTGTATACATAAATAAATATTTAAAAAAAGAAAGAAATTGTCCCTACTATCGCTTTAAGTGACTGAAGCTGATTCTTGGTAATATTTATCTTAACTGGTAGGGCACCCATTTGTAAACTAAGTCTCCTGGAGCCTACTGATAGGAATTCTCTCACTAACCTATCTTCGGATACAGTGCTAAGGTCAGTCTCAGGCTAGCTTGTCTTCGGATGACCACACAATCTGGATGGAGGTTGAGAAGTTCCTGAATCTGAGTTTCCTGAAAGAGAGTGACCATTCTTTTCTGCTTGTCTTCCAGGATCCTTCCAACCAAAAATGCGGCGGCAGGAAGAAGACAGTGTCTTTCAGCAGCATGCCCTCGGAGAAGAAGATCAGCAGTGCCAGCGACTGCATCAGCTTCATGCAGGCCGGCTGCGAGCTGAAGAAAGTGCGGCCCAACTCTCGCATCTACAACCGATTCTTCACCTTGGACGTGGACCTCCAGGCGCTCCGCTGGGAACCCTCCAAGAAAGACCTTGAGAAAGCCAAGCTGGACATTTCCGCCATCAAGGAGATCAGGCTGGGGAAGAACACAGAGACCTTCAGAAACAACGGCCTCGCCGACCAGATCTGTGAAGACTGCGCCTTTTCCATCCTCCACGGGGAGAACTACGAGCCTCTGGACCTGGTCGCCAATTCTGCGGATGTGGCCAACATCTGGGTGTCAGGGTTACGGTACCTGGTCTCGCGCAGCAAACAGCCGCTTGATTTTATGGAGGGTAACCAGAACACACCGCGGTTCATGTGGCTGAAAACCGTGTTTGAAGCTGCAGACGTGGACGGGAACGGGATAATGTTGGAGGACACTTCCGTGGAGCTCATAAAACAACTCAACCCTACTCTGAAGGAATCTAAGATCAGGTTAAAGTTCAAAGAAATCCAGAAGAGCAAGGAAAAACTGACCACCCGGGTTACAGAGGAGGAATTTTGCGAAGCTTTCTGTGAACTGTGCACCAGGCCTGAAGTGTATTTCCTACTGGTGCAGATATCGAAGAACAAAGAGTACCTGGATGCGGATGACCTCATGCTCTTTTTAGAAGCCGAGCAAGGCGTCCCCCACATCACTGAGGACATGTGCTTGGACATCATTAGGAGATACGAGCTTTCGGAAGAGGGCCGCCAGAAAGGGTTTCTTGCCATCGATGGCTTTACCCAGTATTTATTATCTCCAGAATGTGACATCTTTGATCCAGAACAAAAGAAGGTCGCCCAAGATATGACCCAACCCTTATCCCACTACTACATCAACGCTTCTCACAATACCTACCTGATAGAAGACCAGTTCAGGGGGCCGGCCGATATCAACGGGTACGTGAGGGCTCTGAAGATGGGGTGCCGGAGCATCGAGCTGGACGTCAGCGACGGTTCAGACGACGAGCCCATCCTCTGCAATAGGAACAACATGGCCACGCCCCTTTCCGTCCGGAGTGTTCTGGAGGTGATCAATAAGTTTGCCTTCGTCGCTTCCGAGTATCCTCTCATTCTCTGCTTGGGGAACCACTGTTCTCTGCCGCAGCAGAGGGTCATGGTCCAGCAGATGAAAAAGGTGTTCGGCTGCAAACTCTACACAGAGGCGCCTTTGCCGTCCGAGTCCTACCTCCCGTCACCGGAGAAACTGAAAAACAGGATCATCGTGAAGGGAAAGAAACTGCCTGCAGAGTCGGATCTGCTGGAAGGGGATGTGACGGATGAGGATGAAGAGGCTGAAATGTCGCGGAGGATGTCCGGGGATTACAACGGCGAGCAGAAGCACGTCTGGCTCTGCCGGGAGCTCTCTGATCTGGTATCCATCTGTCAATCTGTCCAGCACAGGGATTTTGAACTGTCGATGAAAACCCAGAATTACTGGGAGATCTGTTCCTTCAGCGAGACGGAGGCCAGCCGGATCGCCAACGAATACCCGGAGGACTTTGTGAACTACAACAAGAGGTTCTTGTCGAGGGTCTACCCTAGCGCCATGCGGATAGATTCCAGTAACCCGAACCCGCAGGACTTCTGGAACTGCGGCTGTCAGATCGTCGCCATGAATTTCCAGACCCCCGGTCCAATGATGGACCTCCACACGGGCTGGTTTCTCCAAAACGGAGGGTGCGGCTATGTCCTGAGGCCGTCGGTTATGCGAGACGAGGTTTCCTACTTCAGCGCGAACACGAAGGGCATTGTACCCGGAGTGTCTCCCTTGGTCCTTCATATCAAGATCATCAGCGGTCAGAACTTTCCAAAGCCCAAGGGAGCCTGCGCCAAAGGGGATGTCATCGATCCCTATGTCTGTGTAGAGATTCATGGAATTCCGGCCGACTGCTCCGAGCAAAGGACTAAAACTGTCCAGCAGAACAGCGATAATCCCATTTTTGATGAAACTTTCGAGTTTCAAGTCAACCTCCCTGAGCTGACCATGGTCCGTTTTGTGGTTTTGGATGATGATTACATCGGGGATGAATTCATTGGGCAGTACACGATACCGTTCGAATGCCTGCAACCCGGATACCGGCACGTACCCCTGCGCTCCTTTGTGGGGGAGATCATGGAGCACGTGACCCTTTTTGTCCACATAGCGATAACCAATCGCAGCGGAGGAGGAAAAGCCCAGAAGCGCAGCCTCTCTGTGAGGATGGGCAAGAAAGTTCGGGAATATACCATGCTCAGGAATATCGGTCTTAAAACCATAGACGATATATTCAAAATAGCCGTCCATCCCTTACGAGAAGCCATAGACATGAGGGAGAACATGCAGGTAGGGAAACAGCCCCCACCCTCCTCCGCTGTCTCTTTTATTCACACCCACTGAAACTCGCGACTGTTGTGGTTTACGAGTGGCCGGTTTGCGGATGATCGGAAACATCGGGCCGATCCCTGCACCGCCGAATTAGGCTCCCTGTCTCCTGTGATAAAGCAGGTGGTTGCCGGTTGTGAGTGCAAGGCGGAGTTTGGCCAGGTAGTGGTGCATCGATATAGCAAAAGGCTGGGTATCTTTCCAATACGTTTAGCACGCAGTAACGGACTGACAGGAATGTGTATATAAACAGTGTGGAGAAAGTGAAAAATAAAATGTGTGGGTAGAGGCTGGGTGACATGGCTCAGCTGGTTAGGAGAACTTGCTGTGTGAGCGTGAGGACCTGGGTTCAAACTTCCAGCATCCATATAAGAAGTTGGGTGTGGCTGATGTGCCTGTAACCCCTTGCCGAGTGCAGTGCGGAGACAGGAAGTGGCTGGGGCTTGCTGGCCACCAGTCTAGTACCAGGTTCGGTGAGTAAACCTGTCTCAAAAGAGTAAGGTGGAAAGAGAGAGAATAGGACATCCTGGTTTGTCCTCTGGTGCCTCTGTTGGACATTCATACCCATCTGATGCGCATGTGTATGTGTGTGCGTGTGTGCATGCACACACTTACACACACATAAATACACATACAATGCACATGAATACACACTGATGTGCACACATATAAATACACACACAATACACATAAACATACACACATCCTCAAGTGGGTAGCATATAAAATATATAACCAAACATATACATGTGATTTCAATGCTTATTTGTAAAATACTTGCTGATATGAATATAGGAGAGAATTAGAAGTCAAATGTTCTAAAACTGACACCCATAATATTTCCAGTTATTTAAATGTGCACTAACAAATTCATAGCCACAAGAGAAAACACAACTAAACAGACAAAAGTCAACACTTAAACTTTTAAAAAATATATTTAGCTTCTCCTAGAAAAGTAACTCAATTGAAAGAACATGGCTCCTGTTGTGCATCTGCCCCGTGTGGTCCTGAACCGGCGACTGGCATCTCTCAAGATCAGGTTTCCTGCACCAGGCAGGACTGTGAGACTTACACTGGGGGGCTGTGTGAGAGCTGAGTGGGAGCCGGAAGTGACTGCCCAGTGAACAGGAGAAACCCAGCGTACCTTTTCCTTCCTCGGGATGCATCAGCAGAGATGCGAAACGCCCTTTCCACATGACTTAGCCTAGTTCCCTGAGGATAGCATTTTAAAGACCCGAGTGGACAAGTCCCCCCCCCCCAAGAGCTTACGTTGCAAAATGAGAATCATTTGGTTTATTCTATTGCTTTAGTTAGCATTTTTCTAACAATACTAACCCATCCAGAAGCTCTGCACTCAAGAAACCAGACACGTCAGAAGACATTATTTCTCAGATCTTGCAGTTAATAAACGACCAAGTTAGACTTTAACCCAAGGGTGCCTGATGCCAAAATCCACTATAATTCATGCGAAGCAGAACCATCGAGCTGTGCCTTTGTGAAATCTTAATATTAACTCCAAGAGAACTTCTTCAAATAACCAAACGGAGAGAGATAGTGCGGTATGAAACCCACAGTTTAGCAACTGTGGTCAGATTAGGTTTATGTTTGATTCAAGGTGGTTTGCTTAACCCCTTTGTCAAAACTAGGGGCTATTATCGTTTATGTAGTCTTTCCTTACATAAATTCAACATTACTGTAAAGCCCTATGTTAGATTACCTATGAGCAATTTCTATACCTCGCTGTGTCAGAAGTCGATGCTATGTATTTCTGTGTAATTCCTTTTTGTTTTGTTTTCGTTTTTTGTTTTTTTGAGACAGGGTTTCTCTGTAGCTTTTGGAACCTATCCTGGAACTAGCTCTTGTAGACCAGGCTGGCCTCAAACTCACAGAGATCCGCCTGCCTCTGCCTCCCGAGTGCTGGGATTAAAGGCGTGCACCACCACCGCCCGGCTTTCTATGTAATTCATAAACCACAGCCTCTTTCCCATATCTGTAGAATACATCCTGAGAAGCATATTTGGCTGGGGTGATGGCTCAGCCAGAAGAGGCTTGCTGAACAGGCATAAGGCCTGGGGTTCAGATCTTTAGAACTGACTCAGGAGCTGGGTGTTGTGGCAACCCTCCTGGGATCCCAGTGCATGCCAGAGGCTAAGACAGGGAGTGGGCTCACGGGAGCAGGATGGTGAGATAGCTCCCCTAAACCCAGGATTCCTGGATCGAGTAGGAGACCCTGCCTCAGTCTATGATGAGTGATCTGAGAAGACACCCAGGTCTATTGCATACATGCCCCCCACACGTAGAAACACACACACACATGTATGCACACCACATGCATGTATGCAAAAGAAGAACAATTTATAAGGCTTTTGCAGGCAGTGTTAACAATTCATGGTTTCCTAACAAAGTAGTTTGGGTAAAGGATTATTTAGAGGGTAATCTGTAAAAAAAAAAAAATAAAAGCACCCTGGTAATTAATAAATTCCTGAGACATCCGGTGGGTTAGAGGGTGTTCATTATTAATAAACGTGAAACAGCCATAACTTCTACCCCAAGTTATACTCCAGCATCGAGCACATTCATAACAGCCTTGGAGCCGAAAATGTGTCGCTGTCTCGTTAAGGAAAAGAAATTAAAAAACACCTTCCATCGTGTGATTTACCCAAGAGTGAGCCCAGATTTGAATTATCGACCTCTTTCCCTCTTTGTCTTCTGTCCTTCCTCTGTCTGTCATATGAACTTGACTCTTAGCCTGTCTATCTGGTCTTCTCTCTCTCTCTCTCTCTCTCTCTCTCTCTCTCTCTCTCTCTCTCTCTCACTTGAGCCCCCAGTGAAGAGCTTTTGCTGTGTGTTAATTGAACAGCACAGACAGCATCACGTGGTAAGGCTGGGAGACTTGACAGAAAGCTTTAATAAAGTTTTTCAAGGGATTAACTCCCTCACTGCATCTGACCCAGGCTGACTCAGACAGCAAGCACACACAGGCTATCAAGCAATGCCCATCGTTGTCTTTAACATTTATGCCAGATGTTCATTTTATAAGGTTGCTTTCAATCTGTTTGCTGTTTCCAGCATTTATTTCCATAACATATATACATGCCCTTGGGTGTATGGAAGAGAAGAAAATTTCAGATTAAGCTATGAATCAGCTTAGGTGTAAAAGTTGATTATACGTGGCGTCAACAAGTAAGGTTGGTTGTTATATTACTTCCTTAGAAGCAGGATACACAGAAGGCCATCAGTTCTAAGTAGCCTTAAGGTATATTACTAACTCTGGCTCTCAAGCCCAACCAAAGTTCTAGTCTCTTTGAATAGAAGAGATATTTTCATAATATTATAGCACCACAGTTTTGTTAAAGATCATAATGCCAATGAAGAAGATGCCCGTGCAATGCATTTTCTGTGGGCAAGGGGCATTTCTTATGGGATGATAAGGTGATCTTGCTGGTCGATCAGATGGAGGCTGGTGAGCAGTAATAGCCCGCAGCCTTGAGATGCTAAGAGAGATGGCCGACCATCCCCTAGCGGGATGCTTTTCTGAGTTCGAATGAATGGTTCCTATCGAGGCACTGCTCGTGTGTTGGTGGCTTCAGTTGCTATGTTTGAAAAGCACGGAGTAGCCTGGAGTCATGATCTCCTTTGTTTCTGATGGATGCCTATGGCCATTGGTAAACAATAGGACCAACGGTTCAGGCGGAGGCCGTGAGTCACAGCAGTTGGGGTTGGCTGTGGTCCAGGCTGCTCTGCGCGGCACTTGTCTCTAAGGGTGTGACTTGGCGAACGTGCTTGAGCGTGGACCGGGACGCGGCGCCCTGTGGCCAGACGGGTGACTCTCTTGTTTTCTCCTCGTAGAACGCCATAGTGTCTGTTAAGGAGCTGTGTGGACTCCCTCCGATTGCCAGTCTGAAGCAGTGCCTGTTAACCCTGTCCTCTCGTCTCATCACTAGTGACAATACCCCTTCCGTGTCTCTTGTGACGAAGGACAGCTTTCCTTACCTGGAGCCTCTGGGCGCCCTGCCAGACGTGCAGAAGAAGATGCTGGCTGCATACGACCTGGTAGGCTATGGCTGGTGCAACTTTCCGTTTCTTCCCCTGGGTCTATGGGAAGCCCTAAAAGCAAAGGTTCTTGGGTAGTCCTCCAACGACCAGGGCAGTGACTGCCTGTGAAATGTGCCTCTGACCGGAGGTGGCAGTCAGAGCTCAGTAACCATCAAGCCCGGGTGAGACCGCTAGGGGACATGGCAGACTGGGCAGTCCCTGCTCTGACAAAGGGTAAATGACTTCTCCAGTCCGCGGAAGCATGCCTCCTTTTCTTCTGGATGATGCTCCTGACGGGGAGAGACTCGGCTCTCGGGGCTGATGAGTGACGGATGGGCCAAGAGGCTCGCCTGGGTGCTGTTCTAAGCTGATGATGCTCTATTCTGACTGTGTAACAGAATTTACGTAGTGATTAGATTTGGGGATAACTTTATTTCTGTGTTTCGTGCCGTAAACAAAATTAAAAAGCAAATGACAAAATAGATAGCAAAGCTGGTTAGGTATAAATAAACATCTTGGCTGGAGGAGGGCTTGCAAGCCAGCCAGAGGAGAAAGGTGTAGAATCGCCTTACGTCAGTCAAAATTAACTTCTCCCCCATGCGCTGCACGAAATTGTCAGATAAACTAAAATAATGTATCTTTTAAACAGCAGCCCAATTATAGCTTAAAATGCAGACTTTCATTCAGAAATTTAGACAGCAATTATCTGGGGGATTTTTTTTTTTACCAAGTTCTTAGGTGCCCTGGTTCCTTTTATTTGTCTCTTCTTCTTTTCCTAGAATATAGCCCCTTAGCTTCAAGGTCCAAATGGCTACCCACACTCTACTTGCAACATCTGCCTTCCACTCATCAGGAACGATCTGAGAGGACACATCTTCCTTCTTTTAGGATGTTATTTTCTGGAATCATAGACAAAAAAAATTAGTACTTTTCTTTCCTGTTCACCAGCCTGGAGTTGTTACACAGCCACCGTTAATTGCAAAACGTCATCTAAAATGTCATTTCCAGGGGACTACAAGTGGTCTCTTCTATTGCTAAGAAGTAGGAGAGACAGGCCATCAGGCGACAGCACAGACTGCCCAGAGGGCGGCAGGCAGCTCCTTTCCTGAAATGCCATTAAAGCAGCACATCTAGCTTTAAAACACATTTCCAATTAGATAAGTGAATGTATTAAACTAAGCATGGTGGTGTGCCCTGTAGTCTCAGCGACTCCAGGAAACTGAATCAAGGCAGTTGCTTGAGCCCAAATGATCAAGACTGTCCAGTCGTGAGAAAACAATGAGACCCCACGTCTTGAAAGTAATGTCGGAGATAGTCCCCTACCTACCATTAAGTCATCAGCTGTGCCCTGCCGCTTTAACCGTGCTGCTTCCAATCAGAAATGTAAGACGACCAGGGGCTGCAGAGATAGCCCAGAGAGCAAAGTGTTTACTATGCAAGCGTGAGGTCTTGAGTTGGAATCCCCAGTGCCCACTTAAATGCCACGTGAGACCACACACATCTGTGACCCCAGCGCTGGGGGGTGGAGAGAAGCGGAGGAGGCCTGGAGCGGTCTGGCCTTCCATTGAGCCCAGTGAGCACCTGGTTCCGTAAAAGATGTGCCCGCTTCTCAAAATATGAATAGAGTGCAATGTTAATCTGCAATCTTTGCCTCTGTACGCAAGGATGCGCGCGCGCGCGCACACACACACACACACACAAAGGAGAATTGAAGAAAACTGATACTTTTATGCCGCACACCGCGGCCCCCATCTGTGCTCTATGCACTAGAACCCAGTTTGCGAGCGTCGGGCAAGGGGCTGGAGGTTGAAGAAACACATGCAGAGACAGACCAACACACGGACCTCCAATCGCTGATACAAAAGCCCTTCTTTAATAGCACCATGGAGGCTTAACTACCCTGCAGTCAATGGCCAACAGGTGAAAATCCCATCCTCTGATCCTCTAGGCTAGGCACAGCTTCTAGTAACTTCAATTAGAAGGCCCTAGCAGGGAAGAGCAGCTGAAGGCCAGGACTCATTAGTCCCAACACTTTTATTTCCCGGCCTACAGTGCAAAAATAAATTGCTATCTACATTGTTGGAGAGACGTTAGATAAAACAACTTCAAACACTTGTTCATTTGACCTATGTGTTTCTTCTCTTTAGATTTGTTAGGGTTTATAGATGCATAAATATTGGATCTTCATAATGTTGGTAAGGAGGGATGAGCTAAAATACACACAGGAACCTAGGAACGGGAGAGATGGCCCAGTAGTTCGGAACTGTCACTGCCTTTGCAAAGAAGCCAGGGGTACCGTTCCCAGCGCCTCCTTGGAAGCGCACATCTATTTATAACTCTAGCTCCTGGGGATCCCACGACCTCTTCTGACCTCCATGGGCACCAGCATCCATGTGACATAATTTATACAGCTACACAAATAAACATAAAATATTTTTTTAAAGGCTAGGAATCCACCAAACGGGCTCCCTTGCAGCTGTCAAAATCAGTTGTCTAGCGGCTGAGTAAGGGTGTGGAGGATAAAGCAAGACGCCTTGTGGAGCAGTCTGGTTATAATCATGTATGCACACGTGAGATTTACACGGCATTTGTATGTATACTCACATGCAAAGCACATAGGATGCTAGGAAGACATTAACAGCGCCTACTTTTGTTTGTCGCCAGGGAAGTTTATTTTCTTATTTCTTCTTTTCTGCATTCTGCTTCCTGTATTTACCAAATTCTCTTTAACAAACACGATGAATTTTATAATTGAATAAAATAACTGTCAGTTAAGAAAAGGCTGATATTTTGCCATTAAAAATAACTGGGAGAAAGGCATCTGGCATAAACATTTTCTAAACAAAAGGGGAAAAGCGCCACTGGGCACACCCTGCACACAAACGCTGGTCTGGGGCCAGATGGGGAGGCTGGCCTGCTGCCTGTGCCGCATTTTTTTGAGAAATCAATTTTTCATCATAAAAGTGAGGATTGAAAGCTGTTCGGTGAATAGGTATAATTGCCATCTAAGAGGTGAAATTAGGGTACTAGTTGCCATAGAGACAGACAGTAGACATCACTTGTTCCCTTGTAAGCTAAGACAGGAAAATAAGCCATTTCGAGGGCAGTCAGCCCCGAGAGCTGGGTCCGCGTTGAGCCAGGATGGCTCCTGGGTTGCGGTTGGGCAGTGTCTGCCTCACATCCTGAGTGTCTTATGGTGTCATGTCCTTGCCATTTTACCTGATAAGCCCAAATATTAATATTAGCCTTTCTCTCATCTCTGTTTTCAAAACGCGGCAGAGCTGGACTTATACAAAACTGAAATGGCTTATCACAAACAACCAGAAATACTTAAATGAAGTCCAGTTATAATTCTCCATGGAAATGGCTTCTCATTTCGGTAGGAAAGGGAGGGAAAATAACCTGCTCCAAATAGTGCAACCTGTACAGCCAGTTCGCTGCATCTTTTGATGGCGCTCAGGCTGAGGCGGGATGGCTACGATGCCACTGGCCTTAAGGAAGGAAGCGTCATCGTCGCTCTGTGGAACTGTGTTCTCTGGGTGGGCATCTTGTTTGCCGTTCACAAGTGTCTGTGCTTATTTGGAAAAGGTTTCCTGAGATACTGTCCAGACCCAGAGCAATCAATCATGTAAAAACATGGACGGGATCTTTCACAACGATCAAATTCTGTGGTTGCTTCAGATATAAATAAGTTGGAAAGTGCTGACTGACGTCATCAGGGGCTCTGTGATCCAACATCTCCGCAGCCTTTACCCGCTCCTCTCGCTTCCCCCCAGACCACACTGGTTCTGGCTCCAGGCCGTCGTGAACCACACTGCCTTTGTCCTTGGGATGTTCTTTCCTTTCCCGGAAAGTTGAACCTTATCTATTCATTCTTAGCTGGTCATTTCCTGAGAGACCCTTCCCCAACTATTAACCCATCTGCCCCTCCATCTCCTAGGTGTTTCCCCACCACGTTTTATAAAACAGGTTTTATTAAGAAAGCGTCATTTGTTGACTGTGTGCACTGCATCAATTCGCTTCCTCTTTTGACATACCTGAGTCTATGTCCTTAGTCTTAGCATCCGTCAAGGGACAAACACATTTTGGGTACCTTTTCTCTGCAGGGTGCCGTGTGACATGCTAGGGGTTGGCCTTCCCAAGTGGGTGGCTCTAACAGGAAGGCAAAACTTACAACGAAGAGGGGGTGCACAGAGACACACAGCTGAGAGGGACCAGTGGCTACTTTTTGTCCTGAGGCGGACTCTAAAGACTAATGAGACTTCATGGGGACCCGCGGGGCACCTTCCGCACCTCAGCCACTCCACCCTGGCTTCCCTGGCCCTTGGCGGAATTGTATTTGCAAATAATTAGGAAAGGAAGCAGCTTTAGGTGCTCTTCTCTCTGGATGGCTGAGTGTCTAGGCTTCTAATGTTTCGCCAGCCTAATTTTTCATGCATAGTTAAGAAGCATTCGCTTAATATATTCTAACTTTTTATGGGTTTTAAATTAATATGGGAGATCTTTTGGGTCTTTAGTGTCCTGAACACGTCATTCAGAGGGGGATTAGATATCAAGGACTCCAGCTGTAAAATGCCCACCAGAGCATTCTTCCAAGGTGACTTCTGGGCTGAATTATTTAACACTAGCCTAAAAGTTAACTAACTCAACTCTGGCAAGAGCAACAGAACTTCTGGTGGTGAAGATGCTGAGCACGCTAGTGAGCATGCATTGAAGGTTAATCGTTTACTAAGTCGGTTGGGTTGTGATTTGGAAAGCGGGTTGTGCTGGCGCCAGAAGAAATGCAGCAGCAAGAAGGAATTAACCGCCATCTAATCTTACTTGGCAGCTGAACTAGTGGAGAATATCACAATTAGGCTAAGAATAATGGGTTGGATTAACTATATTATCTTGTTAGTGTTATTACCAAAAGATAGCTTCAAAATGGAAAGACGTTGTTGTCTGTAGTTTCCTAAAGTAGCAAGTAGCCTCTCTCTCTCTCTCTCTCTCTCTCTGTCTCCCCTTTTCCACACACACAC